TTAGTTTTTCTGTGTGTGTGTGTGTTAGTTTTTCTGTGTGTGTGTGTGTTAGTTTTTCTGTGTGTGTGTGTGTGTGTGTGTGTGTGTGTGTGTGTGTCCTGGGGCTTGACCTCTGGGCCTCATACTCTGGCTTAGTTTTTCTGCTCAAGACTAGTGCTTGAGCCACAGTTCCACTTCTGGCTTTGTGGTGGTAAGTTAAGAGTTAAGAGTCTCACAGACTTTGCTGCCCTGCCTAGCTAGGATTACAGGCATGAACTACTGGTGCTCACACTTGTTTTTTTACTAGTTAGTTGGAGAAAAGAGTCTCAGATTTGTCTGCCTGGGCTGGCTGTGAACTTCATTTGTCAGATCTCAGCTTCCAGAGTAGCTAGGATTATAGGCTTGAGCCACTGGAGCCCCGATCAGAAAGCTCTTTGCCTGTAATTCTAGCCACTTTCAAGGCTGAGAGCTAAGGAGTGCAGTTTGAAGCCAGCCCTGGGAAGAAAAGTCCATGAGACTCTTATCTTCAATTAATCACAGAAAAAGCTGGAAGTGGTGCTGAAGCTCAAGTGGTAGAGTGCTAGCCTTGAGCAAAAGGAACTTAAGAACAGCACCCAGGGTTCAAGGCCCAGAACTGGCAAAAAAAAAAAGTTTAAAATATTAGGCTGAGGGTATAGCAGCTCAATGGCAAAGTGCTTGTCTAGCATTGGGGAAGCCCTTGGTTTGATCCTAACAGCACAAAAAACAAACAAACAAAAATAAGCTGGGCAAACTTGGCTCACAATTGTAATACTAGCTACTTAAGTGACTGAGATGAGATCTGACGATGTGGTTTGAAGAAGAAAAGTCCTTAAGATTCTATCTCCAGCTAACCACCAAAGCTCTGAGTTCAAGCCCTGATTCCAGCACAGAGGAGAAAAACACAAACAAAAAAAACAATATAAAACAAATAATATAGTTTATAAGGCTGGGAATATGGCTTAGTGGTAGAGTGACTAGCATGAATGAGGCCCTGGGTTTGATTCCTCTACCATATAAACAAAAAGCCAGAAGTTATGCTGTGGCTCAGGTGGTAGAGTGGCAACTTTGAAAAAAAGAAGCTCAGGGACAGTGCCCAGGCCCTGAGTTCCAAGTCCCAGGACTGGCAAAAATAAGTAAATAAAAATAAATAGTGTATAATTAAAACCACTTAATTTACAAAATGGAATTCTTTCTTTTAAAGTTTTAGGAACTTGCTTAAAAATTAAGGAAAGGATGGTGTCTCCAGACCCACCCTTATCCTTCTAGATAGGGTATCTTAATTCTGCAGCTCTAAGCCTTGGCTGCATCCTGGCTTGATAGGCAAAGGAGGTACTAGGCATCTAAGTCCAGGCCTTTTCCCTGCTGGGTCTTGAAAGCTTTGTCTTGTTAGCCCTCTGGAGAGATCTTCAAGTGTGTGATTCACTCAGTTTTAGTCAAGGAACTTTCTTTTTTTCTTTTTTGTCGGTGGGGCTTGAACTCTGGGCCTGAGGGCTATCCCTCAGCTCTTCAGCTCAAGGCGAGCGCTCTACACTTGAGCTACAGCACCACTTCTGGTTTTCTGGTGGTTTATTGGAGATAAGAGTTTCATGGACTTTCTTGCCTGGGCTGGCTTTAAACCGTGATCCTCAGATCTCAGCCTCCTGAGTAGCTAGGATTACAGGTGTGAGCCACCGGCACTGGGCTTCAAGGAACTTTCTATACTTTAGACTCATAGAGCTCTAAAGATTAAATTCAATTGTTTTTTCTTTCTTGCAATTGTTTCTAATGTATTTTTAAGATGATTTCTTTGTTGCTTTGTATGTCCCTCCCCAACAGTATAACCCCTGTTTTCATTGTATTTGATGTTTGTATAATTTGTGGAGGGGAAGGGAAAAAACAAATTGTTTAAATAGAGATAGAGGTGGACCCATTGCAACAATGAGATGTACAAGATGTTATGTCGAAAAATGAACTTTACAACTTTGGCTTGGGGGGGGAGATGGGAAGGGATGGGAAGGGGAAACAAAGGAGGAGGCAACAATGCTTGATAAGAAATGTATTCATTACCATGCCCATGTAATTGTGACCCCCTCTGTAAGGTATTTTTACAATTTAAAAAAAAGATTAAATTCAAGCTCAAGTAGATACATAGGAAACCCAGTGTAGCTTTTGCATACTAGATTTAGGGTCAGAAGACTTGACTCTGAGATCATTCATTAGCTGTATGATAATTGGGCAGACAATTTCTCTTGAATCACAATTCAGATCATTCATTTTTTTTTAGTGTATTAGTCATTGCTTCCAAGGGGTAACCATTTTTTTGGATATAGATAAGTATGTAATGATACAAAGTGAAGTTAACGAAGTACTATACATAAATTTCATATGGAGGAAAAATGTCGTTTATTTTGATCAAGAAATGATTTGGAAGCCAGGTGCCAGAGTCTCATGCCCATAGTTGTAGCCACTCAGGAGGCTAAGAGCTAAGGATTGAGGTTCAAAGCCAACTCCAGGCAGGAAAGTCCCTGAGATGTTTGGTTTTTTTGTTTATTTTTTTTTTGTTTGTTTCTTTTTTTTTTTTGGCGGGGTCAGTTGTGGGACTTGAACTCTGGGCCTCGGGGCTGTCCCTCAGCTCTTCAGCTCAATGCTACCACAGCACCATTCCAGTTTTCTGGTGGTTAATTGGAGATGAGTATCTTGGACTTTCCTGCCCAGAGTGGCTTTGAACTGAGATCCTCAGATCTCCTCCTTGAGTAGACAGGATTACAAGTGAGAGCTACCAGTGTCCAGCAGTGTCTAGTTTTCTTTTTTTCTTTTGGGTCTGGTCGTGGGGCCTGAACTCTGGGCCTGGGCGCTGTCCTTCAGCTCTTCAGCTCAAGGCTAGCGCTCTACCACTTGAGCCACAATGCCACTTCCGGCTTTTTGCTTATGTGGTGCTGAGGAATCGAACCCAGGGCCTCAGGCATGCAAGGCAAGCGCTCTACCACTGAGCCACCTTCCCAGCCCCTCCAGTTTTCTTATCTATAAAATGAGAATAATCTTCCCAGTCCTGCCCAACTTTACTGTAAAGATGCAGTAAGAAAAGTGTGAATGTACTTTAGTACCATAAAGCATCACAATGTCATAAGCAAAATGACTTATAATACTTCTGAATAGTGATAGTTAAATTTGATTTCCTGTTTGGGAAAGAATTGCTGGTATAGGGAGATGAGTCACCTTACTAGTTGCTGTTCTTAAGTGGCTTTGGAAAGAACACCCTATACTGCCAAGTGTGCCTGTGAGCTCCAGAATAAAGTGAGCGACTAGAGCCATTAATTTGTGCTGATTCAGTTAGGATCACCTTTTTTTTTTTTTTCCTTTCTTTCTTGTGCCCCTCCCCACCTTGAAATGTGAACTGAAAACCCAGGCACTGTCCCTGGGCTTTTTTTTTTTTTTGGTCAGTCCTGGGGCTTGAACTCTTGGTCTGGGTACTGTCCCTAAGCTCTTCAGCTCAAGGCGAGCGCTCTACCACTTGAGCCACAGCACCACTTCCAGTTTTCTAGTGGTTTATTGGAGATAGGAGTCTCACGGTCTTTCCTGCCCGGGCTGGCTTTGAATCGCGATCCTCAGATCTCAGCCTCCTGAGTAGCTAGGATTACAGGCGTGAGCCACCAGCGCCCGGCTTCCTGAGCTTTTTCTGTGCAAAGCTAGTACTCTACTATTTTGAGCCACAGCACCGCTTCTCCAGTTTCATGGTGGTTAATTGGAGATAAGAGTCTCACAGACTTTCCTGCCCAGGCTGGCTTTGAATCACGATCTTCATATCTCAGCCTCCTAAGTAGCTAGGATTACAGGCATGAGCCACCAGTGCCCAGCTTGGACTTACCCTTCTTCAAGATGGGAGAGAATCTTGGAAACTAGAAATAAACCAGAAAGAGTTTCTTTGGGAGTTCATTATAAAAATGTTCCTGGGTTCTCTTGGGTTGTGTGTTCAACCGTGTTACTGTGTTGCTCTTTTTCAGGGGACGTTGGGAATTACTATTATGGACAAGGCCACCCGATGAAGCCTCACCGAATCCGCATGACTCACAACTTGCTGCTCAACTACGGTCTCTACCGAAAAATGGAAATCTATGTGAGTTACTGGCATCCTTATTCCTATAGGACACCCAACCTCGTGATCCATTTCTAACAATAGTAACTAGAATCTCTAGTAACTAGAGACTTGGCCTCTAGTTCAGCAGAGTCTAAATCTTTGTTTTTCTTCTTAAGCCATTGGACTTTTGGCCCTGGATTACCAGAATTGCTTAGTACAGAACATACAACCTTTTCTGATCTCCCTAGCTCTATCTTCTTTCAGTCACATTGTGAAATCACTGTGTACTCCTCACTGAACTGCTTTTATTTTCTCCAAACATCACATCTTTCTTACCTCTGCCTTTTTGTCTTATGTTCTTTTAGCTTAGAATGACAGGCCTGTCCTGAACTTCTTACTACTTAGCATGATGGATAACTGGAGCTCACACTGTACCCTAGCTATTGAAGAAGTTGAGATATGAGGATTGAGGTTTGAGGCTAGCCCAGGCAGACAAACTGCCCAAGATTCTTAGCTCTAATTAATCAGCAAAAACCCAGAAATAGAATAGCTCAAGAGGCAGAGCACCAGCCAGGAGTGAAAAGGCCATGTGAGAGCTGGAGGCTGTGAGTTCCAGCTGCAGCACCAGCACACACACACACAAAACAATTCTTATATTGAAAATATTACACATTTCCTCTTTTCCTTCACCCCTTATTTCCATTTCTTGTACAGTCTTCATTGCACATTCACACTGTAGTATAATTTATTTGTTTACATGTGGGTCTCACTAGAGTTAATTCAGTCAGGATTCAGGGTCTTGCTGTGCACAGTGGTACTCACCTGTAATCCCAGCTACAGGGGAGGTAGAGGTAGGAGGACCATGATATAAGATAGGTCCCAGCATAAACAAGAAACCGTATACAAAAAGTAAGTATAGCAAAGAAGAGCCAGGAGCATTGCAAGTACAAGATACTTAAGTATCTAGTACTGCCAAAAATAAAGCCAGAATCTCTTATCCATATACCTGCCAGGTAACAGCCACGCAACGCATAAGTCAGTAAGTAGATAAGAAATGAGAGCTAATGATAGATATGTAGAGAGGCAGAGCTGATGGGGTTAGGCAGAGTTGGCCAAAAAATAAATAAATAAAAAGCCTTTGAGGTAAGATTTTAGTATAGAGGCAAAACACACACCCTCTGCTGCTTTCTTGAACCATCTGAGGTGCATCTTTTGTTGTTGTTGTTGTTGGTCGTGGGGCTTGAGGAACTCTGGGCCCAGGAACTGTCCCTCAGCTCTTCAGTTCAAGGCTAGCCCTCTACCACTTGAATCACAGCGCCACTTCCAGTTTTCTGGTGGTTTCTTGGAGATAGGAGTCTCACAAACTTTACTGCCCGGGCTGGCTTTGAACCTCGATCCTCCAATCTCAGCCTCCTGAGTAGCTAGGATTACAGGCATGAGCCACTGGCATCCAGCAAAACAGGCACTTTTGAGCAACCCACTTTGATAGAAAAGGCGGCTTTTCTTACACTAGAGAGCAAAGACGTAGCCAGTAGGAGCATCTGACTAATCTCATTAATCCCAGTACCCTGAAAGATAAAGTACTGTCTGTAGTTAAGGATCTGAAGGTGGAGGACAGCCTGAGCTACTTAGCAAGACTATCCTAGAGAGAAAGAGAAAGAAATGGAGAGGAAACGATACAATGTAATTTATAGACTTAGCTCCAGGTGATCTTTACCTGGTCCAAAGTTTTTGTCTTTTTTTTTTCAGGTCCTGGGGCTTGAACTCAAGGCCTGGTCACTATC